GAATGCCATTGGCCTTCTTGGCAGCCAGGGCACACTGCTGGCTCATGGTCAACCTGTCGTCCACCAGGACACCCAGGTCCCTCTCCGCAGAGCTGCTCTCCAGCAGGTCCGCCCCAAGCCTGTACTGATGGATGGGGTTGTTCCTCCCCAGGTGCAGGACCCTGCATTTGCCTTTGTTGAACCTCATCAGGTTCCTCTCTGCCCAACTTTCCAGCCTGTCCAGGTCACACTGAATGGCAGCACAGCCTTCAGGCAAAGGGATCTGGCCTCATACAGCCGGGATTCCTACTCCTGAATGGGAGGAGGAGGAGGGAAGTGGAGGAGGTTTTGCAGCTGCAACCAGCCAGCCCTGCAGCAGATCACCAAGCACGGCCACCACCGGTGCGTTTCTGGGGTTTTGTGAGACTGCAGCAGAAAAACCTCACTGCCTCTTTGTGATAGGTTATCATGGCTTAAGCCAATGTCTCCTGAATACTTCAAGTGCTTGAGTCATTGTAAGAAAACAACTTAATTCCATCACATTGATTTCTAAATGGGGAAAATACATCTTTTGTGTTTAACTGAGGGGCAGTGATAATAAGATATCATTGATATACTTTTAGTTAATCTTTGCTTATGTAAGGAAAGTTTGGTTGACAAAAAGCGAAGAGTTTATAGATTTGCGTGCTTCGATATATACCGTTCTGAATGTAATGTCATTCTACTGTCTTGCCAAGATCTTTCCTATGGATTTGAAATCTGTTCTAAGATTTGACTATGGAACAAATCCAACCAGTAATTTAGCCTAACTGAAAGAAGAATGGTTTTAAGCTTTCAAAAGTGTATTTTGTAGGTCACACAAATTCTTGTGTACTTAATGCACACACCAAAGCGGACAGTGCTGTGTGTTTGTGTAAATTGATATGCGGGGGCAAAAATCACCTAATACACCAATCCTGAATGGAGTGCAGAATAGGCAAAGCTATAGAATTTACAGTAGTTACATAGTATATGAAATGAGAATAATTATAATTATAATTCCAATTTATTTAACTCTAAAGATAAAAGAGAATGTAATTCATATGCAACGTGACATTTATTGCATTTTGTGATATTTTAATTTATTTGTATTGGCACATAATCAAAACACTCTTCCCTGCAGAGAGGGGAATATACCAGCGCAGTGGTGTATCGATATAGATGGGTCAGGCAGTTCTGAACTATGTTACAAAATCAGTGATATTTATAGTCTATTCAGATACTCACTTCATCTGCTTCCCAGCAGAGGTGTGTTGTGTTTTGTTGTTTGGAGTTTTTTTGGTAGGAGTTTTTTATTTGCTTTTAGACTGAGGGAATGTTTTCAGTTTTAAAGAAAATCTTTTCCTTATTCTGTCTAAAATGAAAATGCAAGAGTGGACATATTTCATTAAAGTTACTTAGTAGAAGTTGGCTCACCCTGCTTTTTAGTGAATGATTACTATCGTGATTAGTAAACTCATATGCTGTGATATTCCTGTGCTTTCTTGACCGCCATGTGGTTACCTAGTATTGAATGAATCTGGATATCCTTGTTTTCTGATAGAAGTTTCCTGTAATCTGTGATTTCAAACAGTCCTGATTACCTTTCTACAGCTTGGAGGTTGCCAGCCTGACGCGGGCAGATGCTGATCTGGAGGCATATCGAATACAGATATGTAAAGAAGTGATTGCTATGCTGATGAAGAACATGGTCTTAAGTCACAGCATCTTTCCTCATGTGGAGAAGAGGATGAATTCGATTTTCAAGAAGCAGTTTCTTGCAATGGAGAAAGAGATTCAAGAGGAGTATGAAAGGAAGATGGTGGCTCTGACAGCTGAATGTAATCTGGAAACTAGGAAGAAAATGGAGGCTCAATGCCAAAAAGTGAGAGCTGCAAATGAAGAATCTGAGGAATTAATGAAGAAAATCAATGAAAAGGTAAATCTGGTATAAAGTTATGATATTTTGCATGATATGTGGTTTCATATAGGTGGTTTCTCTTTTAGACTAGAAGGGCTGAGTTGTCCTGTTAAAAGAGTAAAGAGAAAAGCTGTACAATTTAAATGTGTTCAAAAATTTAGATGTCATAATTGGGGTAGTTGTTATTAAGAAACTGAAATGGAATTTAAATTGAATTTAAATTGAATTGGAAAATGAATTTAGCTCAAGAGAATGTGACACCTGCAAACAAAAGGTTGCTCTGTATCCTGATTTTTTTTTATATAGTCACTTAAACCCTTGCAAAGTGGTGTATTTTTATTTACTATATATTACTGTGGCAGTTCCTAAGAACTCCAGTCAGAAGTTGTGTAAAGTATTTTGCACATTCGGAGCAGAACAAACTCTCTGCATCATAAATCCTACAATCTGGGTAAAAAGTCTCCAATATTTATATTCTTATTTTGAAGAAAATGAGGATATAAGCACAACCAAAAGCCAATTTCCTCCAAACCAAGTGAAGGCAAGCAGAACAATCTGTGTTTTGGGCAGAGCAGGGAGTAGACTTCTCTTGGAAATAGCCTCTGGATAATAGTGAGATAAATAACTTAAGGCAGGGTATGATTCTTTACAAATTTAGAGTCTCCCTTTAAATAAAAGCTTACTGCTTATGTGTGTCACTTTCATTCGAAGATCTCTGTCCAAATGGGTAATTGTCATTACCCAGGATTTCATAGGTAGTCAGTAGCTGTAAATAGAGCCCAGCTCACCAGTCCAACATCCCATGTACGAAATTATGCTCTGGTCTTCCACATCTCTTTTTCAGGTATATTCAGTGTTTACAATAAAACTGATCCTCCCCCCCCCCCCAACCCCCCCCCTTATTTTTTTTTTTTACTTCATGTGTCTGGAGAGGATTCTATTAAGTTTTGAATATTTCACCTCTGTAAGCTTAAAATGCTAAAATACCCAAGTTAATGTTTCATGCTTGTCTAGTGTTACAACTCATATTAAGAGGATGACTTGGTGGGAGTAAATAGTGCAATTGTTTACTTACAAGTGGGGCTTTGCTTCTGGAGCACAAGTGGATAGAATGTGATGCTGCTGAGTTCCAGGTGTCTGTTTCAGTTCAGTTATAGAGACAAAGTTATGTTAGGATTATAATCCCTAAGACCTGTATATTCCTTACTTGTGTATGCTCTCCTTGTAGACAGTACTTAAGTTTTTTGCCTTCTGTTTTGTTTTGTGTTTGTTTTTTTTTTTTTAAACCAAGTTTGCTGATGACACCAAACTGGGAGGTGTGGTAGACACACCGGAAGGCTGTGCTGCCATTCAGCGTGACCTGGACAGGCTGGAAAGTTGGGCAGAGAGGAACCTGATGAGGTTCAACAAAGGCAAATGCAGGGTCCTGCACCTGGGGAGGAACAACCCCATGCA